AATTTCATATAGGCCTAGGCTATGAATTTGATAAGACGAGTCCGCCAGAGACAACTTAATTTGGCTTCTAGATATCATACTAATGTAGTTGCCTGAACACGCAATATTTTAATGACAAAATGTGATTTTAAGTAGATTTTTGCAGGAGTAAATGTTTAGGAGGCTCTCATTAAGTTCATAACTCAAGAGAATAACTGTCAGGTAATTAAATGTAATGACAAACTCTGTGAGATATGTAAATATCTGGTTGAAGGGTCATTTTTTAAATTCTCAACGGGCCAAATATTTTGTGTTAAATCTAATAAGACATGTTCTAGCAAGTTTGTTATATATCCTGCTGTGGATGCAAAGTCGTATCATAGCTGTACAAATCATTCGCAGTAAAAAACATAAGATAAAAAAATATCACAGAAAAACACCGTAAGTTGTGATAACAAACAATAACAAAACAAAAAAAATATCACAGAAAAACACCGTAAGTTGTGATAACAAACAATAACAAAACAAAAAAAATATCACAGAAAAACACCGTAAGTTGTGATAACAAACAATAACAAAACAAAAAAAATATCACAGAAAAACACCGTAAGTTGTGATAACAAACAATAACAAAAAAGTAATTATGACAATCTTAAAAGGATATTAAAACACAAAAAATATTTTGTCATATTACTCCTGTTTTTTATAACCCCATTGAATGTGATAATTCTTATTCTGAGCACAATACAAAGCCTGTTATCATCAGTTTTCTTGGCTTTCCCCAAGCCATAGAGAAGATACACGTTATATATGGCATGCTCTGATCTTTAGGTAACAGAATGAAAAATATTCTGGCTGGTTTAAAAAAAAGAAACGACCCTAATCATACTTTCGGGTCGTTTTTTAAAAGTAGAGAATGATTCAAAACAGAAAACGAATATCTAGCATTTCATATAGTTAGTACATTACAGGCAAAAGATACCTCGAACCCAGGTTAATTTGAGATATTCAGTATTAGATAGGTTAATGAAATACATGTATTCGGTTGTATTGAGTACATATCGGTAAAAGCTGTTTTACTTTAGCTTTATAATCTGTGTTTTTACTCTTACTTGATGCGTGCCAATTTTGCTTTAATATTTTAAACATTGTTTGCTAAATACATGTATATCATTGCTAGTAAAGTGCATTCTTTATACCACCGCTGTAACGTGCTGGAGACGAAATTTTTTATTCCAAAATGTCTAGTTACCAGCTGCCGTCAGAAATATGTGAAAATATCAAATACCATGTTTTTCGGTCTCTGTCCTATCGATTTAAATGAATAAAGCCACGTTTCCAGTTGTCGTCGATGGGGATTAGAACTGACCGTTTTATGGAGGTTTAATGGATTTTTAATTGTCATAATAGATAAACATCTTCATTTATTTCATTAATATTACAAGCTCAATTGCAACTACATACTTTAGAAGGAAAATGCGATATCAACCGTGTCTTCAATAAGAAATTAAACAGTAGAAGCAAAGGCAATATCAAAAACAAAAATAAAACGTCCCAATTTTAGTTTCAGCTTGGAAACTTATGAAACTATCACTACTAGTACAATAATATAGAGAGTGTAGGGGAGGGAGGGTTTGAGGGTTTGGTCAAAACTCTAGCAAAGTTTCTGTGCTATTTTCACTGTACTTAGTGCCATACAAAATACAACGCGTTCTTTTATTCGTTAGTGTTTTACATTCCTTCATCTCCTTACATTTCTGTTTACACTCCTCAAATCCCATTGGCGCCGCCAAGATAACTGCTTTTGAAAAGAACCAACACCTTTTACTATATTTTGATTCATAGGACGCGTTGCATGGATCATATTGCTTGGCATGTACTACCCTCATCAACTTTAGCCAGTCCTAAATAACCATAAACCACGGCTTTGTTTTCTTCTATCTTATAACAATCTGAAATAGATAACATACTCACATATACTTTGTCATAGTCAAACAACTCAATTGTTGTTCCCAATCTTTAAGAGTCTTTTGCCCTCTTGTCTACCATACCATCTCACGTCTTAATTTAGTCGTTCATGTAATAGTAACCATGGGTCCCTCGAGCCCGATCCCAACAGACGTTAACTTGTCATTAACCAACCAACCAACCAAACAATGATTCACTTTTACCACCAATTAGTACTAATACCCATAGGAAACGGGGGTAGTTTCAATAAAAGACAGTTACGACAAATAAAATTGACTATTTCACAGTCAGATTGTGCCTTAGATTAAATGAAATGAAATGAATGGAGTTTTACATCCTTTTCTGCACCATGCCCTAGATTAAAGTACTTTATCTAACCGGTTGTTCTGAAAAATATTTGTGCCTATATGATGACCGCCTACCTCCGCCGCCGCCTAGAGTCTCCTTTCTGATGATCGGATGAAGTTTAGGACTGGCAGCTTGTAAAGAAACAACACACAGCAAAACAATTACCAACATCAAATAAGAAATGACAGACATTTTGATTCGCTGACAGAGTTTTACGTTAGCAAATGTTTTTGTGCGTTTAAATAGAAGACCAGAGAAACATGGCAAACTGTAATTACATTTTTAAAGTGGCTCTCTTTGGGTCGCAGTAAACAGTGATTGAAAGCTACAGAAACATATACAGCTTAAATTGGCACGTTAAGTTTTTAGTTGCATTGAAGGAAATCCGCACATCGGATTGTTATTCAGAAAAATGATATGGTTAAGGAAAATTAATCTATATTAAATAGTAAAACAGTTGATTACGATGACTATATATCCGTTCAATAAGCTAGTTCAGAATTGTCATACAGACTGGTATTTGTGGTATTCGGTTATAACAGTTTAAATCCTTTAATTTCGAGTACTGTGCGTTGACAACTGCCAAACAACGCCTCTGCAATGACTCTGTGATGCTTCTGAACAGTTGCTTGGGGAGACGCCATTGCTTCCGTAAAAATATTTTGCGAAATCTCCAGTTGTTCTGGAAAGACAAGATGATATCAGACGTGTTCGATGGGATTAAGGTGGGAGATCTTGATCGCCAGCCCATGACGTCAGCATTACGGTGTTAATGTTTATCATACCATATAAGGCACCAAGTTAGCCTCTGTATGTGACGTCACCCGTTTGCTGTTCTTTTTTATGCTTACAGGTATGGTTAATTTCGAGTGCGGTATTATGACCCAGTGGCCAGTTGCATGAGAAAAAACACCCTTGCACGAAAAAACGGGTGTTAAATGAAGACAACACGTGGCCATAAATGTTTAAATGTACATTAAGGGCCCACTATGATAAGAATTTCGGATTATGAAGTTTTTAATTTGATTCCTTTTATATAAGATACGTGTATAAATATTCGAAGCTGAGCCAGCTTATTACATGCATGACTCATTGGTAGATAGACAATTTCATCAATTATTTTAGTAGACAATAGCTTATGATATATCAGTGGAATTGCTAATTTTAATGAATAATAAATAACACCAGTTACTAAGAACGAAAAGTTCTGTACGGTGGTATAGTATAATTACTATCAGAGACTAGGTAAGAGTCAGTAAGTTTCAGTCTAGTATAATAACTATCAGAGACTAGGTAAGAGTCAGTAAGTTTCAATCTAGTATAATAACTATCAGAGACTAGGTATGAGTCAGTAAGTTTTAGTCTAGTATAATAACTATCAGAGACTAGGTAAGAGTCAGTAAGTTTTAGTCTAGTATAATAACTATCAGAGACTAGGTAAGAGTCAGTAAGTTTCAGTCTAGTATAATAACTATCATGGACTAGGTAAGAATCAGTAAGTTTCAGTCTAGTATAATAACTATCAGAGACTAGGTAAGAGTCAGTAAGTTTTAGTCTAGTATAATAACTATCAGAGACTAGGTAAGAATCAGTAAGTTTCAGTCTAGTATAATAACTATCAGAGACTAGGTAAAAGTCAGTAAGTTTTAGTCTAGTATAATAACTATCAGAGACTAGGTAAAAGTCAGTAAGTTTTAGTCTAGTATAATAACTATCAGAGACTAGGTAAAAGTCAGTAAGTTTTAGTCTAGTATAATAACTATCAGAGACTAGGTAAAAGTCAGTAAGTTTTAGTCTAGTATAATAACTATCAGAGACTAGGTAAAAAACAGTAAGTTTCAGTCTAGTATAATAACTATCAGAGACTAGGTAAGAGTCAGTAAGTTTCAGTCTAGTATAATAACTATCAGAGACTAGGTAAAAGTCAGTAAGTTTTAGTCTAGTATAATAACTATCAGAGACTAGGTAAGAGTCAGTAAGTTTCAATCTAGTATAATAACTATCAGAGACTAGGTAAGAATCAGTAAGTTTCAGTCTAGTATAATAACTATCAGAGACTAGGTAAGAATCAGTAAGTTTTAGTCTAGTATAATAACTATCAGAGACTAGGTAAGAATCAGTAAGTTTCAGTCTAGTATAATAACTATCAGAGACTAGGTAAGAGTCAGTAAGTTTCAGTCTAGTATAATAACTATCAGAGACTAGGTAAGAGTCAGTAAGTTTCAGTCTAGTATAATAACTATCAGAGACTAGGTAAGAATCAGTAAGTTTCAGTCTAGTATAATAACTATCAGAGACTAGGTAAGAGTCAGTAAGTTTCAGTCTAGTATAATTGCATTATTGTATTATTGAATATGGAATGTTGAAAGTTAATTCGCCATCCAATTGTACCTTAGTCTCAGA